ACCAGTGGGACAGGATGTTCCTTATGCAGCAATGGGAGGATTAACTGGTTTCAGCTCACTGGCAGAAGGCTACATGCGATTAGATGACAGTGGGATCGGTAAGTGATGACAGATGAATTGTGATCTTGTCATGAGTTTTATGGTGCTAACAGTAGTGAAGTCTTTGTTGAGCAATTTATGTTCATCATGTTTATTTTTTAAGAAAATATTCCCTCAGTTGATTGTTAATCTTTAGAAGATTTCATTGCCAGTATGTGATACATTGTCATTATAGAAAATTTAGGGGGAAAAAAAAAACAAGGAAAAAGATCACTTCTACTTCAGTACCTGTACGTATCCCATTCATATCCCCATTGTTTGTGATAGCCAAATAATGTTTATTTTGTTTGACATGATACGGTTTACTTGTTACCCTATTTTGTCCTGTTTTTAGCATTATAATCATCTCATTTTGGAAAACTGTAGGCCTGTGCTCATGTGTGTATATGTATCTTTGCCTGCATACATGTAATCACATCTATATAAAATTTGTCCATACATGTATGTACCCCCATATATCTTCTGTGTACATGTAAGTCTAACTAATATAGGGAAAGGTTTAATAGGATGTATTCTAAACTCTTGAAGGTAGCTGTAAACTTAAGAGAGTTGAGGGAGATTTTGGAGGTGAATATGTTCCCTGTCTACATTAAACACTTCTATGTGGGAATTTTATTTTCTTTTTACAACAAAGATGTATTTTATTTTTTCATTAAAATTATGTAAACATACATGAATACTTTCTCGTAAAACTTCAAACAATAGAAATGAAATATAAAGTCCCATTGTACACACTTTTCGTTACACCACTTTCTTTCTCTTACGCCACTTTCTTTCCCAGAGAGTAATTTGCTGTCATTAACTAACTTAATTTTCTCTTAAGCATACATTTTTACAGTTTACCTCTTTTTCTTAGAAAAATTTTGAAGGCCTATTATGTCAGGAAACATGAATTTATTTTCATTCTTTTTCATTGCTACACAGTATTCCACACTGGAGTTTATCAGTTTAGCTATTTCCTTGTTCATAGCATTTAAGTTTCCATCTTTTTTGCCATTACA